AGCTTTCTCGGTTAGTTTCCCCCTAATCAGTTTGATCTTCTTCATATCAGGAACCACGACGCTAACTCGGACAGTTTGTTTCTTATTAGTATTCATCTTCAGGATACTCACCAAAAACCTTTGATTATTTTTCTTAGGAATCCTATGAATAAGACAACACAAATGCAAAAATAATGAATATTTCGAAATGTAAGATGTATGTATGCATGGTGATGTAACATTGTGGTGGGATTATGAAAGATATCCTTAGTAGGTAGGTTCCTAGTTTCGTCCTACAGATATTCTACCCTCTCCATAAGGGTATCATGGATAACACCAAAGAGAAAAAGCATAAGGGTTTCCCTTAGGTGGAGCCTCTTTGTAGACCGATATTTTTGTCTCTTAGGTCATTCAAGGTCTCACCATGAGATTTTGTTTTAGGGTTATACAAAGAGTCATTAGCCAAATCCCGAAGTTCTACCTCCAAGAGAGTCTATCCCTCTAAAAGATATTCCTTGGAACTCAACTGACTCTAGACGAAGTCGTCGCAAAAACTCATAGGGATGTTAAACCCCATTGGCCAATTGACAATCCTTCTTTCTAAGGTTTGATTTTTTTTTAATTTAAAGCCCAACAACAATAACATGATAAAAATATAATAATACGATAAATAATAGACAAACGATAAACCAATAAATGAACATAAAAATAGGCTATAAGTAGAAAGCACCCCAAAAACCCTAGACCTAAAAGATAGGTAAACTCTAAACCCTGTGATTATTCTCCAGCAAAGTCGCCATTTGTCGTAACCGGGAAAAATATGAGTCGCCACTACTACTTTTTGTCTTAAGGACGGGAAAGAAAGGATAACCCTAATTTTTTAGAGATTCTAAGTTCGTGAGTTGGTTAGATAAAAGGAAGGTGTTAGACACCCTATATCTCCCTTGTTCTCAAGGGGCTCTTCTTCTAGGTTGTAGGTGTAAATCGGGAGTTTCTGTTTAAAAGTTGTTGTTTCCATATGTTTAAGAAAAGGATTTAATTTTTTTAATAGCGGGAATTGCCTTAGTTTTAACTGTGTTTCTACGTATCCTCTTGCGAAGAATCTGAGTCCAATTTCGTAGTTCGTATGTGTTTGGTTAGTTTTTTTATGGATTGTGGAAATATTTTGGAATTATCCTTGAACTTTGACTTGGTTTGAAAATAGTGTAGTCGTAGGCAAAGTTCGCAGTTAATATAAAAAATATATCCATAATACTTTTGGAAAATAAAGTTGAAATTTAAATTATGTTAGTAAAATAGATGTAAAGTTTGATGGGCTAGTTGTCTTATAATGCATGATGAAGTTTGAAATATAATATGTTTGAATGGGTGAAAAATATTTGATGAATTGATAAAAAAAGTTAGTGTTTTGAAAATAGTAAATAAATAATTATTCTCTTATTATTAAAAATATATTAAATATTGTAATAATAATACAATATTTATTTATCAAAATGATTTTTATGATAAATGAAGAAAAAAAATTAATGCAAGTGATAAAAATAGCATGAGAGAAAATGTGATGATTATTTATAATATATAAATTAAATAAAGTAAATAAATAAATAAAACAGATTAAATAAATAAAAAAAATTATTTAAATAAAATAGGGGGTGTATTATTAGTTAGGATAGTAAAACACGTGGTTTGAATATCAAGAGCCTAAGCCCAAAATTTGTTTAAGGCCCAAAAGCGCCTAGGGGTGTAATTTTGCATTGGAGCAGTAAAAGGGAGGTGTGAATAAACATGGACTTGGCCCAGATAACAATTGAGACCTACTGACCATAGTGTGGGAAAACGTAGGGACATACGGTGTACTAACATTTTTAGATCATCTGATCGAGATCCTATGGCCACCAGGAGTTAATCCTGGCTCCTTTATCAAAAATATTGCAATCGTGTGGTTGAGAGCTAAGGTTGACCAGGAAGCGTCGTATGCTTGCGTGCACGGGGAGACAGAGATTATATAAGTGTTTCACGTCCATTTTTCCTCACTTTTCCCTTCTTCGTCTCTCTCTCATCCTCGTTCTCTCACTCTAAACAAAAACTTAGAGAGAGATGCTCTCCAATCTCTCTATAATTCAAGCGATTGGAAATCGCCTTAGCCGGTGGCACTGCCTTGCGTCGCCATGAGCCAACCTGAGCCACCCCTACAACCCCTATGAAACCCAGATCTCTGGTTGAAGTTTAACCCAGATCTTCAACCAAACCCCAAAAACGCTTAAGGACCCCAAGAACCCTTAGAACCCTAGGCATTAACCACTGTGGACGACTGTTGAGTTCGTCGTCTATGATGAACCTCCGTCTAGAAATTCACCCTCCACCCAGATCTTCAACCAACAAAACTCATGAACCCTAACCTATCATAAGAACCCTAAACTTAACCTCTACGAACCCTAACAATCTTCAACCCATAAACACAAACCCAGATGAACCTTAACCCTAAATACCAAGAACCTTAACCTTAACCAAGAACCCTAACCCCCAAATTTCCAAAAAAAAATACCAAATAAACTACAAAACATGCATCAAATTAACACCTAATCTAAGTTTAGGCTTACCTCTCCACAGTGAAGCTTTTTGTATAATTCTCCTTTCTAATTCCTCTTCTAATTCCTTTTTCCTTCTCCTTCGCAGGTACCGACTGGAGGAGGGTTTAGCTCAAAGGAGTTAGGGTTCTAATGATGAACCCTAATACTCTTTTTGAACGAAGAGCTTTGGTGAGGGACAGGGATTCGCAGCAAGCTTCAAGGGTTTCTCCAATATCTTTTCCTCCCCTTTTTTGTCTTAGAACTTAGGTTTATATAGATTTTAGAATTAGATTCAATTAGGAAATATTTTGTTAATTTGCAATTATAGGTTAGATTAGAGTTGATTGAATAATGTAATTAGATTTGATTAAAATTTGAGATTCGACATATTTGATTGTAATTAGAAAATTAGGGTTTCTGTTTGTATCATGTACCTGGACGAACCATATAATAGCATTCATTTCAATCAATAAAAGACTATTTTGTAAAACATGATTTTGATTCAGATTTGATTCAAAGAATATTTGAACTCTGGGCATTGTCATACCCCAAATTTACCCCATCAAATCTCAAGATCATATTATTACTATGTTTCTAAATTATAAACCATATTGTGAAAATTTGCTCGTTTTTAAGCCTTTTTCTAATAGGGGTTTAAAATCATAAGAGAGGTGTACTACGGACCATCAAAATCTGATGGTTCATTAAGTTTTTAGTTCCATTTATAAATTAAACGGTTTTTTTATCTTTTATTTTAAATAATTAGAAGGGTGTGTAATTTAATTAAGGGGTTTGTGAGCTTTTTAAATCAGAAAAGACCATTTAAAACTTTTTTAGTCCATTCAAATATAAAAGAGAGGGAGTTACATTACTTTAAATGGACCATCAAAATCTGATGGCCCATTAGGATTTTGAGATTTATTTTTAAGTAATAGGGGCGTATTCTTTTTGGTTCATTTTTTTACTGGCCCAATAGATAAGTAAGTTGGCCCTTTATTATTAAGAGGGTGTATTTTATCATAAGAGAGGTTCATCTTTTTTTTAGTAGACCTGTCCATTACAGTTTTTAGGCCCGTTTAGAGGATAGAGGGGGGTTATTACTTTATTTCTGCATACTGATCCATTAAGATTTTTTACTCTTTATAATAGAGGAGGAGTGTGCATTTTTTCTTTTTTGGGGATGGCATGTAACATTTTTAGAGCCCATTGAATTGAAATCAACCAGAAATTAATTTCTGATTTTTTTGGCTATGTCATTAATATTATTAATATAATTAACATTATTATTATTAATATTATTATATTATTAATAACTTCATTAATATTATTATACACTTTTTTTTTGAATTGTTGACCAAGTCAACAAAGGGCTTTGAAACCCTAATACAAGCAGCGGCGCTTTTCTTCTTCGTTAAGCAAAACAAAGGCCTCGAACACAAACCAAATCAAATCTTCACGAATCAAATATTTTCATAATCAAGCAAAATCAAATCTTCTTCATTACTGCAAAAAAAAAACGTTTCCTTGATTACAAATGCAGAATCTCAATTAAAGCCTAATTCTAATTTCTAACAAAATCTAATTTAACCCTAATTTACAAATCAACCTAATTTATTCAAATCACAATTTGTAACAGAAATCAATACAAATTTTCCTAATCTAACATTATAAATAACCTAAAAATCATAAGAAGGGGGACCGAAATTGGCGAGATCGAAAAACAAAAGAAGTGGAAGAAGAAAGATATGGGTTTCAATTTCAGAAATCCTAGATTTGTGGTGCCGACATCGTTGCCTTCAAGATCTTCACATTCGTCGTTGTCGCCATCATCATCATCATCATCGTCTTCATTCGTCGCCACCTGTGGAACAAGAAGAAAGGGGGTGATTAGCGGTCGGGTAGCACATAGGTTCAAAGAAAATCACGGTAGTAGAGGTACCAAACACGTAGCTTATCGCGATTTTGATTTCGTTTTGTTGAATTGCTGAAGGATTTGGGGACTAGGGTTTTGATTTGGTTATTAGGGTTGGTCTTGGGATTGATTAAGGTTGGGGTTGTTGAACGGCCGCCATCGTGTGGGTTAGGGTTTTCATCGGGTTGCGTTTTGTTGTTGTATTAACGAGAGAGAGAGAGAGAGAGAGAGAGAGAGAGAGAGAGGGGGTTTTCATCGG